CCTGACCCAGTCAGTGCTCGGGGCAGCCAGAACCTGACCCAGCTGAGGGCTCGGGGCAGCCAGAACCTGACCCAGTCAGTGCTCGGGGCAGCCAGAACCTGACCCAGCTGAGGGCTTGGGGCACTCGGCGTTGACAGTGCTGCACTGTTCTGCCAGGACCCGCAGGCTCGGCGGCGATGCCGGACGGGCTGTGCCCGCGGGTGGGGGGGCCGCTCACCTGAGGCGGGCTGCCCGTCGGTCAGCAGGATGATGAGCGAGACGCTCCTCTCGGGCAGCGTGTGGTTGGCGAGGTCGTCCTTCAGCATCTTCACGGCCTCCAGCACGCTCCAGTTGATGTCGGTGCCTGGGGGGGCACAGCACAGAGTCCAGACTGGAGCGCTGCACGCATCCGGGACAGTCCCAGAGAGCAGCGGCTCATGACCGGGCTCTGGGCCCGCTGGGAGCCCAGTGCACAAGACACACCTGCTCACCTACCCCCCCCGGCGCTAAAATAAACACTGCAGCCCCACGCCTGACAATGGCGGTCGTTTTAGCCCAGCGCAGATTCATTATTCCTCATCGGAACATTTTTTCCATGCTCCAGTTCAACATGTAACGTGTTTCAACACCCGGATTGTTCCCGTCACCAGCACGACGCGCTGGGGTGGGCCGCCTCACCTCCGCGGGCCTGGATGGTCTCCACGAACTGCTTGGCCTCCCGCAGGCTCTCGGGCGTGGCCTTGGTCAGCGAGGGCTTCCACTTGCGGAGCCTATCGTCGAAGACGAGGAGGGCGAAGTAGTCTTCCTCCTGGATGTCGTTCAGGATGGCGTGCAGGGCTTCTCGGGTCTGCAGAGAGCAGCAGCATCGCGGTCAGGCCCTGCAGCTGGCTGAAAAAATCTTGCGGGGTTCTGGGGGCCGGAAGTCTTACGGATTCCCGGATCTGTCCCACTGGGAATAACCTACACAACTACTTTTCCCAAATTCCCAGAGGAGCTCCTCCAGATCTCACAGCCTGTCAGTGTCTGAGAGAGAAAACGTCTCCACCAGGAATTTATGGAGCACCACTGCATGGAGTGCAGGGTTGTCAGGAAAGGACCTGGTATTTTGCAGAAAATGTTATTTAGCAACGACTAGATGACTAAATAAATCTTCGCTAGTAAGTTTAGTGTGCGCCAGGCTGACATTTCTATCCCCCCCAGGAGCAGGACTGGAAGAATCATCTTGGTGTTCCACTGAGGACAGAGGTGACTGCTGATCAGTTTCACCTGATACGAACCTGGACAGAAGATGAATAAATTAACTAGCACTATAACTACTGTAACTAGTAATGTAACTACTATAACTAGCACTATAATTACTAACTAAAGCTAGTACTATAACTAGTACCATTACTACTGTAACTTGTACTTTAACTACTGTAGCAGTTACTAGGTACTATGAATGAGTACTAAAATGACTGTTATTAGTAATGTAAATAATCCATAACCATTGCAACTAGTAGTGTAAATATTATGAATAGTACTATAACTATTATAGCAAGTTCTATAACTAGCATTATAAGTATTTTAACTAGTACTGTAAGAACTATAACTAGTACTATAATTACTGTAAATAGCAAGATAACTACTATAACTAGTACTAAAATGACCTATAGCTAGCATTATAACTAGTATTCTAACTACAATAACTAGTACATAGTACGATAGCTGATAGCTACTACTATAACTACTCTGGCCAGTACTCTAACTGCAGTAACTAGTGCTGCACCTGCTGCTCACCTGCTCGATCTTCCTGCCCCCCATGGAGCCACTCTCGTCGATCACGAACACCACGTTCTTGGGCACACGCTGCAGGTTGGCTGGAGCGAAGAAGTGCACAAAGTACCCGTTCACGATCTGCGGAGAGAGGGGATCCCCTGAGCACAGAGCACACACCCTGGGGCACCCTGCGCAGCTCCTGCACCCCGACCCTGAACTCCTGTCACTGTGGGACACACACACCCCCTGAACTCCTGTCACTGTGGGACCCTGAACTCCTGTCACTGTGGGACACACAC